CTACCTGTCGGGACCTGCTGTGGAGCGCCCTGACACGCCAGTCCCATGCCCCATTTATCATGCATGTCTTGCTGCATGTCACGACCGGCTTCGTTGACGAAACTGCATGTCACAAATCCCGGCCTGGCCCGCGCAATTGCAGCTGGCAGTTCTCTGTTGCCACCCACCGCCATCTGGCCTCCGGACGATTCTCGTTGGCCCGCGGCGACTGGTTCTTCCCCTTGTGCCGCCCTCGGCAACCCTCTGCACGGTGCGGCACGCGGGAAACGGCCGGGAGACGATTGGGAGAAGAGGGGGGGGGAAACAGCTGATATTATGATGCGGCACACCTTTCTTTATACCCGGCGGGTGACAGGAATGGTATCAAGATGCATCCGGTATCCGATCTCACCACCTTGCTTGCCAGGGGCTGCCTGGATATGGGCTTGTTGCTCGCACGACAAGCAGAGTTCCGACGGGAGTTAAGGTAAGGCGGGAAGTAACCCGGAAAGAATAGGGAGAAAAGATACGCATTGTGTTGGGCATTATACTCCATGTCGCACGAGCAAAACACAATGGTGTCTGTCCCCTTCTAGCTTGAGGTGCCATTCACGTTGATGTATGGCATCAAAGTTTGCATCCCCTGAGCTGCAGTTGTGGCCCGGCAGCGTCTGGTTTGGTGGGATTGATTTGGGTTTGCAGCCGTCAGCAACGCCCAACCGCGCTGTCCAGGCAGGCAGCGCCACGAATTGGGCCTCGAGGCGGGGAACTACGCCCGGCGCTCCTGCCACCATAACTTCCACTTTCACCACATCACCAACTCGACCGTTTGCTGCCGCACGTTCCGGCCTTCGTCCTCGTGGGCTTTTGGGTCCCGTCAAGAGTCAGCTTACAGCCGCTTGCCGCATACTGTCGCAGTCACGCGAGAGACGGCAGACGTCAATTTTTTGCTCAACCAGTGCTTCACCCGGGCTGGAGGACCAAACACCAAGTAGCAGGCGCAAATAATTGAGCGCAGTTGGCGGCGGCGCGAGTGCACAGCACAGCACAGCATTTCCCACCACACGCCTCCATCTGCCCCCCACGACACCTACCTGCCGACATAACGGCCTACCTGAGTAGGCAGGTGGGCATTTGCCCAAGACGAAGCATATCATATGCCTCTTTGCATGTCCATTCTAGCCATCGCTCTGCCACTCCATCCATCCTTCGCCCACTTCGCGAAAGCAAACCCCACACCCCCTTCCTAGGCCGGACCACGACCGACTCCTTTTTCACAGCATCATCTTCCCGGCTGAGCTAGCGGAGCTATATACATCCGCATAATCATCCTCCCACCACGCCGCCCTTCACTCACCGTGTCCTCGCCGTCCGACATTGGGTAGAAACCCCACCAAACCACTGTCTCCAGATCCCGCTCTTCGACAGGCGGACCAACCAACCAGCGGCCCCCAACTCTCGTCGGCCTCGGCCTGCCCCATTTGCTCACGGCCGAGTCTACCCCCCCCCCAAAGCGGCCGCACCACCCGCCACACTCGCTCCCTGCAGTCAGGCCTGGAAAAGATGGAGCAGGACGAGGTCATGCAGACCACAGGAGGTACAGACGAAGCTGTACGCTCATATATCTCTCCAATCGGTACGTGGATTCCAAAGCTGCCTTCGCCCCCAACATTCAGCGCACGTCGTCCTTGCCCAACCAAACAGACCCGTGCAAGCGCAACGGCCTGTCGTTGGCTACTTTTCTCCCGCCGGACTGGCTAGGGTCCATGTGGGGGAACATGAGAGATCCGAGCCTTGTGTCATGCCGTGCCGTCATACATGGCCGCCGCTACTGCTAGGCTTGATCGCTGCCCTTGATTTTTCTTCTTTTATCTTTTTTAATCCCGTGTTCTACCTATTTCGTGTACTACCGAGGCTATGCACGTTCCAAACCGCAGCGGCAGCCCATACTTTTCTAGCTCGTCTCCCCAGCACGCTACACTCATCCTTAAGACGCCTTATCGCTATGTATTTACCCACTCTGCTCGGGTTCTCTCCCACCCAGGCCCTCTGCCATCACTTAATCCCCCTCCGAGCACGAGCACCAGTGTGCAACACACCGCCACCCAGAAGCGTTCTGTATGATCTCACTACCACGGACATATCACACCCCAATCCTTTTTTTAATGCTGCCAACCACGATTCCACTTGCGTTTCCAAGTTTATTTTATATCATCCCCCATGACAGCAAAGCACATGCCCAGGAGCCTGGGCCTTCTGATCATCAAGTTTGCTGTTTTGCTCAAGCAATTACGTAGCCTTTGTCCCCCTGCAATGGGGATGGATAGATGGTGGCATCTTCGCCAAGTATTCTTCTGTGGACTGACGCCTCTCAACACTCAGGATACAGCAACTCATCTGAGTGTGGATATTGTCGTGGGCGCTCGGCTGTCTCGAAAAAAAGTGAGATGAAATTTTTACAGTCGACTCTACTGTGACTGCTGTTGTTGTTGCATCCCTCACAATGGCCCCAGATGTTTCTCAGCTTCCGTCCTGACTATGACTCGGCGAGCTGCAGGATACTCTTATTATGCCGTGGCGAGCGACTTATCTGCTGGCTTCTACCAGAGCCTTGTCGACCGGTGCTGGAGACGGTCCGGCACGCTCCTGTATCGGCCGAATCAGAGGAGCGCATGCTGCCCGCACTACACTCTACGCCTTGACTCCAACGAGTTCAGACCTTCAAAAGACCAGCGTCAGGCAATCAACCGTTTTAACAAGTATGTTGCGGGCGAAGCGTACACGAAGGAGGCGGCCCGTCTCCACCCACGGCCGCGCGAGGAAGCCAAGAGGCGTGCCGCTGTATTTGATCTGGTCGAACGTGTCCACGAAGCCGAGCGTGAACGAGTGGCGTCACCCCCTGAACCTGCACACAACTTCACAGTCGCGCTAGAGCCGGACAACTTTACCGAGGAGAAGTATCTCTTGTTCGAGAACTATCAGAGGTCGGTCCACAAAGAACCGCCCAGTAAGATTAGCCGCTCGGGATTCAAGAGGTTCCTGTGCGACTCCCCCATCCGCAGGACCACTGACGCAGGGCCGGACGGAACCCAACGCAAATTGGGCTCCTTCCATCAGTGCTATCGGCTGGATGGGAAGCTGGTGGCCATCGGTGTTCTTGACCTACTACCTCATTGCGTTAGCGCCGTCTACTTTCTGTACCACGAGTCCATTCACAAGTACAACCCTGGGAAGCTTGGAGCCATGAGGGAGATTGCCCTCGCCGTTGAGGGTGGCTACCGCTGGTGGTATTCGGGCTACTATATCCACACCTGCCCCAAGATGCAATACAAGAACGACTACGCCCCGCAGTACATCCTCAATCCCGGGACGCTCACCTGGCATCCCCTCACCAAGGGGGACATGGCAATCTTTGATGACAAGGGATACGCCAGATTCCCCCGAGTTGTCGCGCCCAACGGCGACACCAAATCGGAGAAGCCCAAGGGATATGACCAAGACCATAGCAGCGACGACAAGAAAGCAGGCGAGTCGCAAGGAGACGACTCGGATGGCAAGAAGGCGGACCACAACGACTCGGAAGATGACGACGGCCAGCGAGAATTTCTCCTGCAAAGCAACATGCCCGGGATATTATCGCTAGACGAGGTGGCCGCCCTCGACCTCGACGACATCGCCGTCGTAACTGACGGACACTCGGAGATGTTCAGCACTTCGGACCTCGTGGTCTGGCGGACCCAGACCATCGCCCAGTATCCCTCGCTCAAGGCCCGGGTGGCGGAGTTGGTGGCTGCTGTTGGCCCAGACTTGCTTGACGAACTGTGTCTTGACTTTCGCACGCGGCGCCAGTCGTTCTAAAAAGACACCACGCAATTGGATCAAGGAGAAAGCTGAGGTATGGACCGGCTTGAGGAAATTGTGAAGTTGAAAATCGCAATTCGGGGGTATATTATATAGGAATCGCGCAGCTAGGGCATAGAATTACTTACATAGCCCATAATGATTTCAATCTCATGTCAATATCCTCCTTCTCACCCTCGCACCTCCCTCCAATACTACTTCAAAAGAGTATCACCAATCGCATTAACCTCGCCGTACAAAAAGAAGACGACTCTATAACTGCTTCAGTGCTGGCACCTTTGAGCTGAGCTCTTGCTGAATCTCGTCCCACAAGAGCTTGTGCACCTTTTGGCCCGTCTCGCTGGTTAGGACAGGGACAGATTCCCTACGAAAGCGTTAGTTATGACTTGAGATAGATGCAGGGATGGGTCTGTAATTACTTTTCATAATCTTTGTCGGAAATATATTTGCAAATAAATTTGCCCTAGCAAAGGTATCTCAAATCAGCTGGGCGATGATAGCTCGAGGGAGCGATGGATGACGGAAACGAAGCTCACGTTTTCGCTCTCGGCGGTCAGGCCGGCGGCCAGGTACGTCCTCGCCCCGACCTCGGGGCTCTGGGACAGCAGCGCCATGACCAGGGGCTCGCCGAGCCGGACGACGATGGACTCCTCCTTCATGGAGCGCGAGATCTCGGTGCGGACCATTCCCGGGCAGCACGTGTTGACGACGACGTCGGGCCTGCCGCTGCCCGCGGCCGGGTGGTCCGACGCGGCGCGCGCGAGCTCGACGAGCGCGTGCTGCAGCACCAGCTTGGACACGGCGTACAGCCCGCTGCCGTTGAAGTTCTCCTTTGCGCCAAAGTGCTTGAGGATGCCGCCGCTCTTGGCCGCGAGGGCCGGCCACTTGGACACGTCGACGTGCAGGTGCACACCCGAGCCGACGAGGGTCAGGTGGGCGGGCCGCTCGCGCGCGGCGCGGAGGGACTTGAGCCAGGGCAGGAGGAGCTGCGCGAGGAGCACGGTGCTCAGGACGTTGACTTGCAGGGTTGGGACCCTGGGGGGGTGGGTGGGTGGGTGATGGCGTTGGTGTTAGTGGACTGTACCATGACCTCTTTTTGGGATGTTTAACAAGGGCCTATGGGTTCTTCCTTACCATCCCTCGGGGCTCTGAGACCACGAGGCGTCGATGACACCGGCGTTGAGGCAAATCCACTGTTTTTTTTTTTTTGTATGTATGCCATGTCAGTTATCTAGGTTGGTACCCATGTAATCTCGGCATGAAGCCCCTTCGGCTCCCCGAGGAGCAACCTACATCAAACCCGCCATCCGCAGCAAAGTCCCTCTTTAGCGTGTCCGCAAACGCGACGACGGACGAGTACACGCTCATGTCGAGCTCCAGGACGCGCACCTCGGCGGCAGCGGCGCCACCACCGGCCTTCTTGGCGGCGACCTCGGCGGCCTGGACGATGCGCTTCCTCGCGGCCTCGCCGCGGGCGGCGTCGCGGCACGTGATGGAGACGGCGGCGGCGCCCAGCCCCACCACGTGCATGGCCGTGGCCAGCCCCAGGCCCGTGGTGCCGCCCGTGACGAGCACCTTTTGGCCCTTGAAGCTGTCGGGCGGCGCCATGGGCTGGGCGAACAGCTTGTTGCTGATGGTGCGGGTGACTATTTTTGCCATGGCCGCGACGTGTGTGGTTTTTTTTCTTCACGAGATGGTGACGATGGAGGAGGTTGATATTAACAGTGGTCGCGACTAGGAAGGACAGAACAGCGATTTAATGGAGAATGAAACGGGCATGGGACGAGATTCAGCTCGCAGCGGTGTTGGTGATCTACATATGGAGGTCGGCACATGGGCCCCTATTTAAGCTCCCGAGTTTCGACACTGAAGCTCCACGGCTGCTGCGATAAAGAAAAATGGACGGTCCCATGCTGTCCCAGGTTCGGAGACGGGGCAATCCGTGGAGACATTACAATGGACAGGGATGGCACAAACTTGGGCCGCATAGCCTGTTCGCTCCTAGGCCCTGTGATTTGAAACGGAGGTTGACCCAGGACCTTCAGGTCGGAGTCGGAGGAATGCGCAGGTGAAAAGTCGCCGAAGGTGGGATTCCGGCCAGACCGGTCTTTATCAACAGTCACGAGCGGGGTATACGTGTGATCTCTTGCAAGCGCAAGTCTCCAACAGAGATCTCAATGATTCCATATCCAGTACCCCAAAGACAGCTTTTTGAAATAGGTATTACAGATTTCAGGGTAGGTGTCGCGACGTGAGCTCAGTCTTTTATAAAATGCCCATTTTCAGCAGTGGCGGCGCACAAGCATGAACGACAGCTTCAGTTGGAACCCGAGCAGTTTTACGCTTGGCATCAAACCCGCGTTTATATGCCTGGGGTGCTGAGCTGCCCCGGTCAATGCGCCATCCATGTAGGAAAATAAGGAACAAGACGTAGGTACACGGGCAGGCAAAGAATATGCAGGAACGCAAGAAGCAATCCCGATAGCCGGGTCTGCCCATTAAAAGCGCCTGCCAGCAACGGGACGGAGCTGAGCCAATTAGAGATGATTGCATGATTGGGGCCCGCAAAAAAAATCCAACCCGCGCGGGCGACTTTTGCGAACGAGAAAAATGGCACACGGTGCTAGCTCTACCTGCGCGAACAAGCAAGTTTCTCCCCCACACTTGCGCAAGAAGATAAGGAAGGGGCCAGCTCAGGCAGCGCCTAAGACACAGCCTCCAGCTCCCCCGACCGAGAATCGAATCCCATCCGCACATCTCCCGCCCCGCCCAGCCATGGCCTCGGCCGCGTCGACGCAGCACGTGCTGCTGTCGCCCGCCGAGCTCGCGTACCTGCACTCGACCCTCTCGCTCTCGCCGCCGATCCGGCCCGACGGCCGGACGCCCACGCAGTTCCGCCCGCTGACGGCCGAGACGGCCATCCTGCCCGGCACCAACGGCAGCGCCCGCATCTGCTTCGCCGACGGCACCGAGGCCGTGGTGGGCGTCAAGGCCGAGGTCGCCAAGACGATGCGGCGCCATGGCGGCGGCGGCGACGAGCAGCAGCAGCAGCAGCAGCTCGAGGGAGCGGAAGCGGACGCGGGCGCCGCTGCCGCCGGCAACGTCTACGGGGAGGCAGAGTGGGTCGAGATGACGGTCGAGATCCCCGGCCTCCGCGACGACGACGCAAACACCGTCTTCCTGGCCGAGCTGCTGAGCGAGGCGCTGCTGGCCGACGGGGAGTTTGCCAAGAAGCTGTGGATAAACAGCAGGTTTCACTGGAAGCTGTATCTGGATGTAAGACCGGCCTTGCGAGCCACATTGGCTTGCTTCCTCCCCTCGGCATCGTGCGGGGGACAAAGATATACCATGCGGTTTTTTTATATACTATATGACAATACCCTTTGGAAGCTTGCCATTGTGACGTGCCATCGTTTCCCAAAGGTTCCCCCGAATACGGTTACTAACGTGGCCCATCGCTCCTCCCGCATAGGTAATACTTATATCTCCGCCGCTATCGTACCCCCTGCCCCTACTGTCACTCACGATACACCTCGCCCTGCTGGCCACGCGGCTGCCCCGGCTAAAGTCGGAGGGGGACGAGGACCCGCTGTTCGACGACGACTGGGAGGCGTCGCCGTTTCTGTACTCGGAGGAGGGCAAGGGCGGCAGGCCGCCCGTGACGCTGCTGGTCACGGCCGTGGGCGACAACATAATCTTTGACCCTTCCAAGGAGGAGCTCGCCGTCGCCGACGTCGCCGTCGCCGTGTCGCTCGCCGAGGCCCCCGCCACGAGGCGATCCGAGAAGATGGCGGCCGGCTCCGTGCGGGATCTGCGGCTGCTGTCGATCCGCGTCATCGACCCGCCGTCGAGGCTGACGCCGTCCGGCTCCTCGGACATGGCCGCAGCAGCGGCAGACGGCAGCTCGACAGGCGCCAAATCGGGGCTCGACAGCCGGCCCGAGGCTAGGGTCGCAGATTCAGAGGCGGTGGATGGTGTCTGGAAGGCACCAAGGGGAGGAACTAGGGTGGCAGTCCTGAGCGCCATCATACAAAAGGTGTTGGAGCGGGGAAGTGTCGCTGACGAGGTCATGGATGCTCTGGACGCCGTCGAGCTAGACTGATGTTCAGTCCTTTCGTCCGGCATGATCTGAGGCGTTGCCAGTGACAATAGGTAACTACCTAGGTGGGTGGCGGGGCTGCATACAGCGTCCCCCGCACTCCCCCGTGCTACGTAGGTAGCTCACCAGGACATGGGGGAAGCCGAGAGAAACATGTCATATCAAGATGCCTCTAGAAAATACCCAAGAACTTCTTCCTCTTCACCTCCTCGGCAGGTGGGGCGCCCTCCGCGGCGGCAGCAGCCGCCTTCTCCCTCTCCTCCTCGGGGTCAATGACGCGGCTGTCACCCCTGATCCAGCCGACAATGCTCCCCTCCGCGTTCTCCTCGATGCCGTGCGCCTTGCGGAACCTCCGGCGCTTGACGACGTCGTCGAGCCGCTTGTCCCGCTTCTCGGCCACGATGGCGGACTTGTGCTCCGTCGTGAGGCGCATCACCTCCTTGAGCGTATACAGCGAGCTGAAGGGGTGCCAGAAGAAGTCGGACCAGGGAGGGATCATGTCGGCGTAGGGCGACGTCATCTTGAAGTTCTGCACAAAGGTGTACATGGCGAGTCCCGAGAGCGTGCCCTGCATCGGAAGCGCGCCGTCAGTATTTTTCACCCCCAGACCCTTTTTGCTCGCCAAGGCCCTCCTCCACCTACCAAGGTGATGAAGAGATGGATGCTCTTGCTGTGCAGGAACCAGTGCGCCCACGTCCCCTGGGGCGCCATCATGCCCGGGTACTCCTTGACGCCCTGCGCCTTGAGCGCCTCGGTAGAGAGGGAGCCGCCGTAGTGCCTGGGGGTGTGCTGCTTGTTGGGCAGGCGGGTGCCGTGCGAGGGCGGGTTGAACCTGGCCGGCTTCTCCAGCACCAGCGGCTTCTTGGCCGCGCCGCCATTCTTGGCCGCGCCGCCGTTCTTGGCCGCGGGGGCCTTTGAAGAGGCGAGCCGGACGCGGGCCGGGGCCGTCGGCGCCACGGCCATGGCACCCGGCGATGATGCGCCGGCCGCCGCCCGGGGCTGGACGCGGCGCCATATCTGGCCCCGCTGCGGCAGCAGGAACCGGGGGATTGTCACTGTGGAGCTCATGGCTGGGATGGCTACACCCAATTCGAGGGAAGCTGTGCTTCGTGAGCCGTAGCTTTGGAGTGTTGCTCCAAGTGGTTGGGGGCGTTGCCAGCCGAGCTCTTGTGCTTCTCCAACCGAGGCGCAAAATAGAAAGAGAAAAAATTGCAGGGGTGAAAAAAGTGGCGCGATTCGATTTCAATCAATGCTTTGTCCCGCAACACCCGTCCCGCTTCGGCCTCCTGAATTCTTCTCACTCGGTGTCTAATAAAAAAATTTGGATGGCCACGAATATGCATGGAAAAAGGCAAATTGTGGAGTGTGTGGCTTGTGAAGCCTTTCGCTCCCAAATGCAGGGGTGTGACCACAGAAAGATGCGCATCGGCGAGGGCTGAGTACCAGCTAAACCGAACTTGCTGGATTTCCGGTTTTGCCCGCCTGGGTTCCCGGATATGACATATTCGGGCGCTCCAATTGGCTCCCGCCCTGCCGTTGGTGGCCGCCACCGCCTTGTGGCTGGTGGGCCTGCGCTAGAGTGGGTCGTCTGATGCGCGAGTGCTGAAGTCACTTACGCCATGGCTTGGTAGTAATAAAAAAAAAGTCGCCGCGGCCCTGTTTTCATAAACTTGCTTTCTTCTTCCTCCTCCCTTTCTCCTACCTATTCACTGCTCTTGCTCACCCCAACCCACGATCTCGATCTTGGTAGCCACACTGCTCCGACTTGGGGCTCACCACATCCATATTTAACCCACCGCCACAACCCAAAACTACCGTCAGGATGGGATTCTCTGAGGGTAGGTGAATCCTGTTTTCCCTTGACCCGAAAGTGGTCACAAAGATCCTCAGCATATATAGCCGCACCACCGCCTCGAGCCACTGGGACCGCACACCGGAGTCTACAGCCGCCATGGGGAGCGTCCAACTGTGCTGGCTGTCTTGACAGGCGGTGTGCGCCGGCCTAGTCAACTTCGGCTTCGCCCTGTCGAGCCCGGCCAGTGTGCGGGATTTTGCTCGGCTGTGGCACGGAGCCAGAGGGCATGGGCATTCAGGCACACACACACACAGCACAATGACACCAGGATATCGAGCCGGGCAAACTGGCCTCGCTCGTCGCAGGACGAGTCAGCGCCCGGCCCGGTTTCCCGCAAGGACATGCGCACACAACACGAGCGTTGCGGGATGTTACGGACAGACAACATGTACACAACCCAAACGAGGCATGCTCGGTATGCTAACATGACCCCTCTCACCCCCCTCGCAGGCAACTCCAAGAACGGCGCCAAGCTGTTCAAGACTCGCTGCGAGCAGTGCCACACCGTCGACGCGTCGGGCGGCAACAAGATCGGCCCCGCGCTGCACGGCCTGTTCGGCCGCAAGACGGGCTCGGTCGACGGCTACGCCTACACCGACGCCAACAAGCAGAAGGGCATCACGTGGAACGAGGACACCCTGTTCGACTACCTCGAGAACCCCAAGAAGTACATCCCTGGCACCAAGATGGCCTTTGGCGGCCTGAAGAAGGAGAAGGACCGAAATGACCTGATCACGTACGTTTCCTTCTTGCTTTCATGCTTGCCCATATATATATACCACCGTTGTACCAATGCTGACCGACCATCCAATCCCTCAAACAGTTTCCTCAAGGAGAGCACCCAATAAGATACCCGGCGTTCGCGACCCGGCCGCGGGCTTGTATTTTTAGAGCGTTTTAGAAGGAGAAAAAGGAGGCTTCATTTTTGTCATGACTTAAAACGCATTAGAGACTCTTTTTTTCCTTCAAAGAGAAGGAGGCTGGCTAGCGGGCGGGCGCAACCTTTCTGTATCACTATAGACTAGACGTAGTTTCACGGCATCGCTTCGTCAACGTCACGAAAGAAATAATTCCCCTCTAACCCGGCGTTCCTCGCGTGTCTTTGCGGCTTCTTGCTCTCTGTTCCAAAGCGGCATGGGCGTTTTCTTTTGGTGTCCGTCTTGACCGTTTTCTCCCGAAGATCCTGTCTGCTTGTGTAGTAGTGCTGGCCGCGTCTGCACAGCTGTCAACTTGGCTGCGTGGTGTTATTCGTCGTGGAGCAAAGGAGTGCCTATAACGTGCATGATTGGTCGAACCGCTAGCCTATAAGCGGTCTCTGAAAGATCCAGAATCACGAGGGCGCAGGCCGCACGCAAACACGAGGTTATAAGTGCCATTCTCCCTGGTTACGCTCGACTTATATTTACGACTGTGTTACTTTTTCCTTCGGGGCATTCGCAAGACTCTTGTCCTGGTCGAAAAAATAATGATAAATCAAACGGCCATGGGAAGCGGCAAAAATTTCACATATAAAACCGCAAAAATAATTGATGGTGCAAGGCATCCCCAGTTCCAGTCCCACCCACGGTCGTCTACCGGCACTAGGAGGCAACGTATTGCAACAAATCACAGTGAAGTTGCCATGGACGTGGTGTCAGCCCTGTCAACTACTATGACGTGGGTAGCGCGCGTGCAGCGGGGATCGAACCCGCGACCTTGTGGCGAAGATATCTCTAACTTCGAACCACCCGAGCTGTCCCCAAGACCGCTCGGCCATCGGATTATATCGAGGGAAGCACCAGCAATGGAAAGTTATAAGGGACTGCTGCAGTGGGCAGGAAAGGGCATCTGATGCGAAGGTCACTCGCCGACTGAGTCTGCACTAATTGTGTTGGTGTTGGTGACTAAGGCTGGATATCTCTCTCTGGCTGCCTGCCAACTTGGAAAACGAAGCTGTTCGCATTGACAAATCGGATTAACAAATACAAACAAACCACAAGCCGCAATCCATTCTCCCATCGACTATACCATTAGCCAAATCAAAAACCTCCCCACCTATCCCGCTATCTCGAGGTACTTTTCTATATCCTTGACGCTGGGCTTGACCTCGTTCAGCGCCACCTCCCAGTCCAGGTCGGATATGTGCAGGTCGGCGCCACCGCAGTCGGGGCCGTCGTCGTCGATGCTGCGCATGAGGCAGGCCTCGGAGGCGGCATGCAGCAGCTGGCGCAGGTCGGCGCCCGTGAAACGCCCGCAGCGGGGGTCCCTGGCGACGCGGTCGATGCTCGCATGCGCGCGCGCCCTGCGCTCGCCATCAGCCTCGCCGTCGCCGCGGCGCGGGATGGTGGTGTCGTAGATGGTGCGCAAAATGTCGACGCGGTCGTCGGGCGTGGGCAGGCCGACGTAGATGTCGGTGCCTAGGCGGCCCGGCCTCCGGATGGCCTCGTCGATGGCGTCGGGCCGGTTGGTGGCGCCGACGACGTAGATGCCCGAGCGGTCGTTGACGCCGTCGAGTTCCGTCAGCAGGGCGTTGACGACGCGCGAGGTGGCGCCCGACATGGTGAAGTCGCGCGTCGGCACGAGCGCGTCGAGCTCGTCGAAGAAGAGGACGCAGGGGGCCGACGACTTTGCGCGCGAGAAGAGCTGGCGCACGTTGTGCTCCGACTCGCCCACGTACTTGTTGAGCAGCTCGGGCCCCTTGATGGAGATGAAGTTGGCCTTGGACGCGTTGGCCACGGCCTTTGCCACGAGCGTCTTGCCGCAGCCCGGCGGGCCCCAGAGCAGGATCCCCGCTGCCGGCTTCATGCCCAGCGCCGCGAACCGCTCGGGCTGCTCGATCGGCCGCACGATGGCGAACTCGAGCTTGCGCCGCACCGCCTGCAGCGCGCCCACCTCGGCCCACGTCGTGTTGGGCACCGTGCTGAAGCCCTCCCGCTTCGCCGCCGGCTGCACCTTGGCCACAGCCCTCTTGAGGTTGTAGAACGTCACCCACGTTCGCGCGTCCGAGTCGCTGCCATCGCCCGTAGCCCGTGCCTGCGCATCTGCTCCCTGGCCCGGCTCCTGCTGCGTTTGTGTTTGCGTTTGTATCTGTATTTGCAGTTCCTTTTCTTGTTCTTGTGAAAGTGTTGCCGCGGAAGCCTGCGATAGGTCGTTGGCCGGGATGGCCACCGCCGCTTTCCAAGACTCGCGCGGCGTCATGGGCCCAGCACGGCCGGCCTCGGCCGCCGTCCTATCGAGCTTGATCCTAAACCTAGACTTGACGGCCTCGGTTACGGCAATCTCGACGGCCTTGGCCAAATCGGCGCCCACGTAGCCGGGCGTCAGGCGCGCGAGGGCGGCGTAGTCGACGTCGCCGGCGACCGAGATGCCGCGCGTCATGGCGCGCAGGATGGACTCGCGCGCGCGCTCGTCGGGCATGCTCATCTCCATCTCCTGGAAGCGCCTGCGGACCGTGGGCTCAATGCTGTCGGGCCGGTTGCTGGCCGCCATGACGACGACGTAGCGGCCGCCGCCCGTGCAGCGCGCGATCTTGTCGAGCCCCTGGCTGACCTCGGACGACATGCGCACCTCCATGGCCTTTTGCGCGCCGTCCATCTTGCCCGCCACCACGTCGATGTCGTCGAGGAAGAGCAGTGCCGGCGCGAGCCGGACGGCCTCGTCGAAGAAGTCGCGGATGTTGCGCTCCGACTCGCCCGAGATGCCGCTCACCAGCGACGTGGCCGCCACGGGGATGAAGGCCACCTGCAGCTCGTCGGCCAGCGCGTGCACCAGCGACGTCTTGCCCGTCCCCGACGGCCCGTGCAGGAGGATGCCGCCCTTTGGCGTGAAGCCGACGTCGGCGTAGAGCAGGCCCTGCCGCAGCGGCAGCAGCAGCTGGTCCTGGAACGCGTCCAAGATGTGGTCGATACCGCCCATGTCGTCGAGCTTGAGCCCCGCGTTGGCCTCCAAGGCCGGCAGATCCGCGGCCGCCGAGCCCCGGGTCGAAGAGGCATGCCTTGTCTTCCGCTTGCGCTTCGGCCTGGGCTCTCCGTTTGGCTGCCGCTCTATCGGCTCGTCCACATCCATCCTCTCCGGACCCTCTCCGCCCGAGACTGGATTTGCTGCCGAGTCCGCTCTAGCGATGGGCTTGCCAGGGGACGAGACCGCACTAGCGGCAGAAGGGGTGGCCGCCGCGCCCGAAAAGTCCCAGTGCTTGGTAATCTGCTTGTTTAGCAGAAAAGCATCCCGTTCGGATCGCCTCGCGGCCTTGCAGGCGGCGGTGGTGGCGGCAGTCTCGCGCTCGAGGGCTTCCTCCGAGTCCTCGCCAGCCTCGTCGGCCTTGACCTCCTCCTGCCTATAGAGCAGAACGCGATCTATGGCATCTTCGAGGGGCCGGCGCTTCTGGCGCGCAAGGCTCGAGTTGGAGGCTTTTATGCTCTCGTAGACTGTGACGACGGTGAGCCGTCGTCGCTTGGACTCTCCCTGGTCCTCCAGCTTGCGCACAATTTGGTAAACATCACGGTCGAGACCATTGCGCAGGTTCGTCGTCCTTTGCCTGGCCAACATTTGATATGTTTCGATTGCCAACCCCAGTGGGGATGGAGGAAGGGGCTTCGATGTAAGAGGAGATCCGTCACAGGCCGAACTGGCAGCAGAATCCGTTTGGCACGCACAGGGCATGCCCATTCGGTTGGCGCAAAAATCTTTTCGAGCGCGCACGCGCCCCACACCCCAAAACACTGGCACGCCACACCCATCACGAAAAAAATGCAGTTTTACAGGTCCCAGGATTTAGAATTGTGAATGCTATAAGCTTTTTATTCCTAACTTCTTCTAATTTCTATTTCCGTTATTATTACTACCCGGTTTCCTCCCTTGTCCCCATTATATTGTTTAGGAGGGACAGCCATCTTTTTTGTGGTGGGCGTAACTAGGTAACGATAGCCTCAATCACTAAGCATCCACGCAAAAGTCCTATCTTACAGCTAAATATTACCATTCACGTCAATTGCGGATATTCACTTTCAGACCGATACACAGTCGCGGCCCTCATATATACATGCCATGAGGGCCAGGGCTGATATATGATTGTTGTTGTACATGTCGACCGTCCGTCTTCCTGGTTCTTGTGCGAGAGGACAATCATCCCTCATTTCCGGCAGCTGTTTCCCACCCATCTGCAGCTGTTCCCCAACTTTGGGCCAGCCTTTTCATCATCCTGAGCGCCGAAACGGTCGTTGACTTTCGTTAAAAAAAAGTACACAGGGAAAACAAAAGAAGGACCAGAGACACAAACGCCACCTTTGATATGCAGGCCATCCCGTTTCCTAGTTAATGCACCAAGCGCAGGGTTCCCGGTGCAGTCAATGCCGAGGTGCAAAACAAAACATAAAAAGAAAAACAGAAGAAAAAAGACACAAATGTGAAAGTAAAAGGTGAAAAAGGACAAACCGACAAATGAAACAGCGAAACAGCCCGGATGAGATAACAAGGGAAAAGGTATCAAGACGGCAGATAACGATCAGAAGATGGTGAAACGAACCAGCAGAGACACAGAAGAGACGGAAAGAAGAGGAAAGGTCCCAGACCACAAGGCACAAGCTCGACTCTATGATGCCATGGCCACGCGACTTGGGTCTTACTCTGCATCATCCATCGTCTTGATGCGTTTCTTGGCGAGCTCAAAAAGAGAAAAGAAAATGGCGTTGACGGCGCAGGAACGTCCCATAGACACGCCTAGTCCGCGGTACATATTCCTCTGGAAGAACTGGATTTTGACTGTTTCTACCCTCTGGCCTTTTGATCTCATCAGGGCATTTCGCTGGTAGATGCTCTTGGCCGAGTCGATTGGGTCTGTGAACACGTTCAAGGGGTGATTAGCCGTTATTTTTAGACTCGTGGCATCAGGACGGTACCCACAGATCATGGCCCATGACACGATACCGCAGAGTCCGCCAGAAATCAGGACCGGGCCGGGGCTCGCATGGCTGCTGCCAGAAAGTGTCGTGAGTATCTGTTTGGCGCTTTCATACGTCATGAAATACAGTCCAGTTCCCAGGGTGTCCCGCACTAGAGTCGGTGTTATGGTCAGTATTTTGCACACCCTTTTGGGCAGCCGCGCACAAGAGAGAATGGATAGGATTCAGGAATGTCTACTTACGGATATGCAGCCGGAATCCCGTATACAGACCCGTGAGACCCCGGTGTCTGACGATGTTTCTCATCGTCTGCCACGTCCCCTTGTTCTGGTAGCTCGCAGCAACCGCGTAGTCCTTCGGGTTGGGGCAATTCTTCCGATCCGACAGGAGGACAGAGACCTGGGCGCTAAGCTTGGACAGCTCAAAGGGGCCTATTGACCAGGGTTAAACGCATTAGCCATGTGCGTGAGCCGCTATCAAGCAGCGTGTGACTTACATGCGAGCACGGTAATGAGGGAGCCGGCTGTGGCCCCCGCAGCACCAGTAGTTGCCAGTGTCCAAAAGTTTGGGTAGGCACCCTTCTTGCGAATCTGAGCCACCACATCAATATCGAATCTCTCCTTCAGAAACCTAGAGTACGACGTGCGGGAGCGGTTATAGATGGAGAGCGAAAAGGTGCGCACACAAGTGATACTAATCATTGGTGCGGTCACACCTGGACAGAAACGACGTATTTTGTGTTAGCAATAGCTAGAGCCCGAGATGCGTTGGGGAAATTTACGCCGATACTCAGGCGCTATCCATCTGCTCTCAAGACATCGCCTAGGAAGAACAAAGAAGGTAATGAGGTGAGAGATCAGGCATGCGTGCCCAAGAATGGTATGCGGACCATAAAAAGTGTCTCCCGACAGCAGCGGCCAGGCGCCGACGTACCTCTGAAAAAGCCCCTTAGCTTCTCGGTCTGGTAGGTGTGGCGGACGCAGTCGATGAATCCAGAGTATTTGTAAGTTTGCATGCGGGTCTTGACACTATCAAGGGGGAAGGCGGCGGCAGTAGACAGTGCACTAGACATGCTGGCCGCCACCTCAGTCCTGTAGCGTTTGGCGAACCTGAGCATTGGACTGTTGTGCGCCGCCGCTTGCTGCATTTTGATCATATCGCTCTCTCTTCTGCCCCTGTTCGAATCTCTGCCGCCAGTCTCTCTGTTGCTGCCATTTGAAGGCATGATCACGGTCGTGTGTTGGAATGCGCGCCCATGGTCATCGGCGGTCGCGGCAGCAGCAGCGGGCATTCTCTCCTCGTGACGGGACCCAGACTGGTTGCGGAACCAGTCTTGGGGCGGAGAGAGGACGAGACAATGGCCGTGGCCACGGAAGGCGATTTAGATTTTCCCAATGTCGCGAGCTCGAGACCAGCGTCGTCCCTCGGCGGCGCGGTCGCGGGTTCAGCCAGGCGCCTGGAGCGAGTCCATTCAGGATCCAGCTCGCACGCTCAGTCCCGCCCTCTCGAGACGGGTTTCCTTTCAGGCTTTGTTTGGAGCGGGGTTCAGGCGCAGGGGTGCGACAGGTTGTAAGAAAGAGGTCCGGACGAGAGAAGAGGGCGACAGACTGGCAGCGATTGGCGGCGGCTTGACGTAGGCTTTCCCGGACGCTCGCCTCGGTTGGGTAGGGGTTGTGTTTGTGCGGGGTATGTCGAGCGAAGGTATGGGTGGCAGAGGTTCGAGTCGATGGATAAACCTAATGTTTGCACCTTGTTAGCCGGTCGCTGCTGTGTGCCACCACATGCCATGAACGAGGTACGTAGGTTGGTGTTGGCCCAGGTCGGGGAGCACAGGTTCCACTGTAGCTCGGTTGGGGTTGGTATGGAAGATACATTTGTTCGCATGTAGAGCTCTGGGACTAGCAGATGATGTCGCCCTGGGAGGGAGGTGGGATGGCATGGCAAGGAAGACAGCTGGACATGGAGGTGGGCGAGTGCGTGGGCGCTGGGGTTACCTCTCTTTCTCCGCTTGGTGGCAAGCTGGTGCGGAGATGTCGAGCTTGCCTGTTAGCTGCTTCCTGCGCCCGCGTTCTTGTTCTACATGGCAACCAGCCCAAAGGCGGGCGTTGAAGGCGGCGTGGAGGGCGGGAAGCAGTATTTAGATTCGGGTTAGGGTGGTGGAGCGACAGGGTGGTGTGTCCAGGAGCTGCGGCAATTGGATGAAAGGGAGACAGCTTTGCGGGGTTGCCCAAGCGGAATGGTGTGAGTGGACAGGTCCAGCTTGGGGTATTGCAGCATTGCAGCATGAAAGTGGGTCTTGAAACCGGCAGAGCTAGTGGGGCCCGATCAGAGGGCAGATAATAGCCCGGCCCAGTAGGTCCTTGCCTCTATCGAAGACAAAGAGAAGGCTGGCCGAATGTTTCAATACAAGGGCGCCTACAGGGGAGCTCAAGGTTGGCCACCTCCTGACCAGCGTGCCAAAATCGCATCGAGGCACGGCGCAAATGCGTGTGCGCGCGTGCAGATCAGACCAAGCCCTCGCTCCATGGCCAGCAGTCTGTGCAGTGGCTGATTGAAAATGGACACAAAACCTGCTAACCGCCGCCTAATGGGGTTCGGCTCAACAACTCCTTCGCGGATGTTAACCGCTGCAAACCCCTGGGGCCGTGGTTTTTGCGATGCCGTTACTCAGCTCATGAAGCGAAGCTTCCATTGGTGGGGTCCGAAGCTAAGCTCTGGTCAGGTACCGACAAGAGCCAGGACGTGAGGTCATTGGCTCCGTGGCAGCCTCCTGACTCTGAGGTAAAACGGGCCAAAGCAAGCCACGGCGTCGGCCAGATGTGCGTTGTACGTCGGAAAACCATTGCCATCCGAGCGAGAAACGTACGTGTGCCGACGTATAACTGGCGTTTGCGTCCCTGTCCGAGAACAACCAAGCAGTTGGTCTAACAGACCATGGCCTTGGTCTAACGGACAATGATCCAACAGAGGGCTGTGTTGCACCCACCACCCCTGACTCGGACCTCGGGCCGTTTTGGTGTGGCAGCTCGGCGGGCTGGCACCAGGTCCGTCTCCTCCCAGGCAACAAACTGGCCATTGGCCTGCCTAGTACGATCATGATACGATACAGGCGCTTTGCACAGCCCATGGCTGCTCTACACCACCCGGAAACGCTTATGGGTAATTTATGCAGCGAGGCCAAATGCAGCTGGCCTGCAACGGCCCCCGAAGTGCAACTTGGTTCGCGGGCTCCACTGGCGGCAATCAGCGGCTGTCGCCGCAGAACGACGTCATTCCGTTTGAATAATGGACAGGAACCACGAAGCAGGGGTCATGATAAGTAGAGCACTTTGAGTGGCAGGACCGATAAAAGGACACATGAAGGCGATCTGCAGTGAAAAAATAGGGAGGCTTTTTCTTCTTCTTTGTCTTCCATGGACTGCCAGATGTCGCCTCGCCGTGACCTGTACCTGTCACTTCCTGTCCCCATAAAGTTACAGTCTTGACAAGATACAAAAAGTTGGTCGGAAACCCAAGTAGCCTCCCTATCATCAACACCACGGGGCAGTGAAAATCATTTGCCCCTCATCTAGGTATGCAAAGATGATCCGTCATGTGTCAGCCTCGCTTGGGCGCCCTGACAGCCGGCCTCCACGCAGATCTGGGCCGCGAAGGGGTGTCGGAGCGTGGCCTCGCCGTACGGCCCAAGACTAGGCGACGGACAAGCTTGCGATAAGGGCGTGGATGCTTCCCCCTCAAACCGGTTCAAACGGACATGCGGTGCAGTGTCGAGGTAGATGCAGCTGTGTGTGGGCATAAAATCGCGCCTGATGTGACGCCGATCAAAGACGGTGACGGGTGGGGTGGGTGCTTGCGTTTGGCCGAGTGTGCACGCCCACGGGCCCCGGGGGCTAGCGGCTTGCATCGGGCTGGCCTTGTGTGCTCCCGTGGGGACCACGTTGACAAGCAGTGAGGTAGTGTACATATGTTGTGGTAGTTTATCCAGCTGGGACGCAAGCATGTGTGATGTGTATATACATGGGAGTCGCCTGGCACGTGCCATGCTTCTGACCGTCTACCTCAGGCACAAGCCCATGGTTCGGTTGAGCATGTCGATCGTCCTGTCGTAGTGGACATAGGCCGTCTTTTCGATGTGATCTCTGCCCATGGCGACCGCATCATCCTGTCAGATATCGAAAGAGACGGCAGTATCAGGCTCAGAGAATCGAGGATGAAAAAAAAAAAAAAACTCACTGGGGCTTCTTCAGCTTGAGCATGTGGAATGGGAGCTGCTCCTTCCGCCGCCGGTGCCACGCCACAAAGACCATGCCCCGGACGATGCGGTGCGCCAGCCCGCGCTCCCGCGCCGCCGACCGGAGAAAGTTTACTGTCTGCAGGGCCTTGTTCCGGTCGAAGAGGTGGGCTCGGCTCTTGTCGCGGAACGCCTCCCGGAGCTTGTCCCGCACCACGGTCCGCGCCGGCTGCGAGTACATGACCGCCTGCAGCCCCGCCCTGTACAGGCGCCGGTAGGCATAGATTATGTCTGCCTGGGACATTGCGTGCGTGGTATTTGCGTGGTGACAACTTCAATGCTGAGAACACGACTGCAAGATCACGAATTCACGAGTTTGGGAGGGAGGGTCTGTGCGACTCGTTTCTACAACGGCACGGTCACGTGACAGTACCGACAATCCCCGAGGTCAACGGTGTCAGGCTGTTGAGAAAAGCTGTTGTATAATTTCAACAAAATACTCTTGACGCTGATAACCTTCCCGCTTGAGGCTGCTTATCCAATCTCTGGTCGGGGTGGCTTTGAAACAGAAAAGCTGTGGTGACCTCAGTCCAAGGTCCTCACCACGAATAAACAAGAAGGGATCCACGCCGCTGCCTCCAACCGCCAACCGCCGACGGCAAACATAACCAAAGTCTATAGTATGCAACCAAGAAGTAAAGAATGCATGAGAATGATGAGGGTGAAAAAGAAAAAAAAACTCCGGTCCGGCGACATCTAGGATCCATAGATGATGCGAAAACACGACCCCTTTCCATGCAATGAGCATTGCCCCTTTAGCCTCTCTGTTGTTTGGTCTCTCTGTTAATTTTTAGGCACTTGGCATAGTTGTATACATTTATACAAAGCGGCACACTCCTTGCCTAATCGTCATTCTGGCCGACGGGGGCATACTGGCCGCTACCCCCGCTGCCACTAGACTCGCCGCCCTGTTGGGCCCGCCCGCGCCCCACAAGACGAGACAACCAAGCGCCGATCCCCCCGGCTGGAGATGCGCGCCCGTCAGACTGGTTCTTACCGCCAATCTCGGGGTCGAGCTCGTCTGGCGGATCGATGGGGAGGCCTGCTATGGCGCTGCTCGTGCCGAAGCGGCCATCCCGTCCACGACGAATGTCGAGCGACGGGATAGGCGAGGACGAGCGAATGAGACTGCCAGTCTCTGCATGCGTCGCAGGCGTGCCCAAAGCCGCGGGAGTCCCCATTGCCGTGGTGCCGTCTCCAAATAGGGATCCCATGTCTTCGAGCCTAACGCCGCACGTCTCTGGGTAGATGAAGTACACTTTGGTGGGCACCTTCTTGTCAGCTAAAACTTGTTTCCATAGACGCATGAATGCGAGACTATGTGGGTGCTCGTCTTACCGATGACAAAGCTTGACGCGCAAAAGAAGGCATGCAGCAGGTACAGCCTCCATGTGATCAGGTCCTGGAGCACGGGCGTCATCTGGCCGACAAGCCAGTTGCACGCCCAATTCGTCGCCGTCGAGAGACTGGCTCCCTTGGACCGGATGCTCAGCGGCAGGATCTCCGGCGGGTAGAGCCAGGGGATAGGGCCCCACGAGTATCCGAATGCCGCGTTATATATCATGACGAACGCGACGACGTACATGGGCGTCGATGGCACGTCGAGATAGATAAAGTACGAGACGAGCGAGAGGGAGATGGCCATCATGATGGCACCACTCAGCAGGATCGGGCGTCGTCCCCAGGAGTCGACGATATACCAGGGCGGAATGGTCGAGGCCAGGTATGTGAGACCGTTCACGCCCGCCATCAAGACAGCCTGGTGGCCGACCCACCCGGCAGACTCAAACACCCTGGGTGCGTAGTAAGAGATGACGTTGATGCCGTTGAGCTGAGCGAGAGCCTGTGCCGACATGGCGATGAAGACACGGGTTTTGTACCTCTTGAACATGTCACTGTACGACCGCTCACCCTCCTGGCGCTGGACCAGGACATCCATCTTGATATCACGGAACTCGTCTCGTGCTTTGGAGTTGTGAATGTCGCCGCCGCCATATAGATTGGCAATGACAACTATGCCCTCCTCATCATGGTCGTTGTCGAGTAGCCACCTACGGGATCAATGTCAGCGACTGGCGGCCACGGATCAAATGAGTGGTATCCCAGAACCAACCTTGGTGATTCCACGATGATGAGGCTACCAAGGCCAAGCAGAGCACCCATTATGCACTGCATCAGCAGGGGCAGCCTCCAGGACATGTGACTCTCAATGAAGCCACAGAAGTAGTCAACCCATACAGAGGTCGTATAGCCAACAATGTTGCCGGTAAATTCGATACAGGCAAGCTTGCCGCGGTTGTGAGGTGGCGAGATCTCAGACTGATAGACGGGGACGATGGTGGACAGCATGCCAACGCCGATACCGGCGATGAAGCGCCCGGCCATCATCACTCCCATGCCCGTTGCCAGCGTTTGCAAGGCGCCGCCGACGAAGAAGATCATGGACCCATAAAGGATCGTTTTGCGTCGGCCGATGATGTCGCCAATGCGGCCGACAGAAAGAGATGAGATGAAGGCGCCAATCTCGAGAATGGCAACCATAGTCCCCACCTCGGCAGAGGATGGGTTCCCGAAATACTCGTTGAAGTATGGGCCACTATAGACAGACGCCAATTGATTAACTTGATGCTCACCGGAGATGCTAGGAATGGCGCCCACCCGAGCGTGCTGCCTGGAGGTTCCAGTAAAGCGCCGCCGAGCGTTAGTTGAGGTGTAAGGGGGTCCCTACGTTATGATGCCCGACATAACACCTTGATCGTATCCAAAGAGGAACACTCCCAGTGATACAAAGATACTGGTGAAGTAGCTGCAAGTTGGTCAGTACAGGCATCCTGGGAGAGCCGTCGTGTGACCCAACGACACAATCCTCCTGCAAAAGGACGGCGGAGTTGCGTCGCCCTACATGGCTATAGAATGACCAATATCCGAGTAGTGAGGTTGAGAGGAGGACAAACATCAAGGATTTGCCGGTGAGGCCATGTATGGGGCTGGAGCGGCCCGCCATGATGCGAGCAATAAGGCGTTCAGCCCGAGACGGACGGTGGGCAGCGACTAAATCGGGTATCTGGATAGCCTCCTTATCGAAGGCCCCGGATGAAGAGCGCGAGTGCGAGCTGCCACCAGTGTTGCGCGAGCCCGACCGGTCACGCTTCTTCTGGTCGAGAGCGCGGCTGCTGCGGCCGTGTCTGTGTGGCTGACGCTTCAGGGCCCGGGCGAGGATGTCGTCATTGAGGGTGTCTTGGAGGCGGTCGCGGAGGGGGTCCTCGGCGGCGAACTGCTCGGCGATATCACCGGTGTCGGTCCAGGATGACTCGGAGGCCGAGTCGGAGGATTCGGAGGGGGATGGGGAGCCGGTTCGTTGGCGGCGCCACGAGGAGTGGCCGCCGGGGTGTGATAGAAGCGAGCTCGACTGTTCGTTGACGTCCGGTCGCTGTCCGGAGAGTGTTCGCAGGGGGATGTTGGAGGGGAGGCGGTTCGGTTGTGAGGAGGAAATGGTGGGCAACCTGGGGGCTGTCAAGCAGCAGCGCCCGTCTGCATGTACCTTGACTTGGGATGGGCGGATCTAGGAACTCAAAAGGGGAAGTGGCGGGTGCCTATGCCCGCGTCCGTACCTGTGCTTGCAATGGAAGCTCGCCGGCAGCAAACACGACCCGAGGCAAACCAATGGAACGAGCGGGAGTGCGGAAAGACGAGAATGGGGCGGGGGGTTCGGCGGGCGGGCGGGCGGTCAGGCGCGACTCCAGGGCTCCTCAGGCTCTCCGGACGGGAGCGCTCGACTTTGGGTCTGTGTGGATGGAACTATCTGGATGATGCTGTCCTGTGAGCTGGCCCGAACAAAGCAGGGTCCGATGAGCATTAGCGGCTGGGGCGAGCTGCGTCACAGTGCAGCACAGGCTGGAGTCAGGTTGTGCTGCAGGTGCCTGGTCGGCTGAGTTTCGTGGGGGTCGGCGAGTCAAGCGCCAACATGTGGGAGGATATTGCTTCCCAAACTGCGGGCGTAAAGCGAAGGCTGGGGGAAGGACCTCTCACATGAATACTTTTTACCATCGCTGGCAGGAAAGGAATCAAGGCGGAATCCCAGTCGATCAGCGAGAGAGAAGCGCACTTGACATCCCCTTCGGCCTTGGCCCGTCTGACTGATCCAGCGACCCACAGTCAACTGCAGCCAAGGGCCCCTTTGCCCGTCCTGATGTCTCTCAGCGCTGGAGCAACATCGAGGCCAAGGTGTGAATTAGGGCCTTTAGGTCTTGGGCGCAACTGAATTCTATGGGGTACCGAGCACGCGCGGCAATTCGGGAAGGCTTCCAGCCATTTTCGGCGATCCCAATCCCGACACAAATCTACCCTCCGGATCTCCAGCATGATCCAACCAGACGTAACAGGGAGTGCTTATCTTGGAATACATGGCAGCCTCCTCCTGGCTCACTGGGTATTCATTGACCTTGCCCTCAACACAGCCTTGTTGGTAAATGTGCGGCTCTGCTGGGCTACTTCGGTTCGCGGGAATCTGTCCGACTCGTTCAGTCCCTGTCGGCTCCACGATGGGCCCAATGACGTCGACGCTCTTTCTGCGGAGGTGTGAGGGTTAAATAATCTACAGTGGGGAGGTCACTCGTGAAGCGAGGGCAGGGGCCAGGTGTATGCACTAGCCAATCGATTAAAACGCGTGTGGGCGGATTCGAATTTGTGCTGCGATTGATGTTAAAAAAGAGATGTAGGCTAGGCCTTATTTGGTAGGGGCTGAACATGGGGTGCTCTTGGCGCTACCTCGAAAATGGCGATTTTTTTT